TAGATAGATAGATAGATAGATAGATAGATAGATAGATAGATAGATAGATAGATAGATAGATAGATAGGCAGGCTATCAACCCAATAAATAATCAATCAGGAAAATCAACGAAAAAGCAATAACCAACCCTCCCAATAAGGAAACAAAGAAACAGTTAATTCAAGAATCTCATCGCAGGCGGTGCCGCCCTTCTCAGTTCCCGCAGCCCGCCGAGTCTCTCTGCCCCTCGCCCGGCTGCGCTCCCCCTCCACCCACGACCCCAGCCCAGCCCGGCCGCTCCCCAGCTGCCAACGACCCCGACTCGACCGTCGGGATTGCGCCGCAGCTTCTTTCTCTTGCGCGGATCCCCTTTTTTTTCCGGCTTCCCTCCGGATCGCGTCCGGCCGGGTCTCGCTCTCTACCCACCTCAAAAGCCGGGTTGGGGGTTTTTTTGGGGGGTGGGTGGGTGGGGGAGGGTGTCTTCCCCATGCGGGCGGAGGGAGGGTCTTGGGGTCCAGGAGGAGAAGGGAGGAAGAGAGGAAGAAGACGGGCCGACCCGACCCGGCAGGGACACGGTTAAACTCTCGTGACTCCACCCCAGCCCTTCGGGCCGGGGGGGGGGGGGGGAGGGGGGGGGGGTCCCTTCTCCAACCTGCTTGCCGGGCGAGACCATGGCAGGAATTCAGGCCGGGCATAAAGCAGCGCCCGGCGGGGTCCCGGAGGAGGCGAAGCGGCCGCCTGCCCTGGGCGGGGCCGGGAGGGGGGCCGGCGGCTGTGCCCGGCTGGGGTCTCCGGCCGCAGGTGAGCCGGGGAGAAGAAGAACCGGACCGGCTGACCCAACCCACCGGACGAGGCTCTGCGGCGGCTGCTAAGAGCGGGACGTGTGTGTGTGTGTGTGGGGGGGGGTCTTCTCTTCTCCACACCCCTCCAAACGGGTTCTGGAGTTGGGGCGTCCTTGAGTCTTTCTAGTCCACCCCCTCCAACTCTTCGACACGTTGCTGGAGATGCTGTGAACGTGGCTTTCTTTCCTTTGGGGTTTCTTTTTTTTTTCCTCCAACCCCCCCACTTTGGAAAAGTCCCACGGGGGGATCCTGCGCGGGGGGGGGGTGGAGGGGTGAGGAGGGGCAGGGGAGAAGCTGTCCTCCCTCCCGCCCCCGCGTCCTGGAGGAATTGAGCCTCTTTGCTCCGTGTTGGATGCCCGGCCAGATGCGGCGGGTTTTTTGGCTGCTCCTCTTCCTCGCCAACTCCAGGGAAATGCTCGCCCAAGCCAGAAAGAAGAAGCCAGGTGAGGAAGAGGAGGAGGAGGAGGGGTGGGGTAGGGGCCACGCGGGGCTTGGGAGTGAGAGTGTGTGTGTGTGTGTGTGTGTGGGGTGAGGTTTCGCTTGGCCAGCTAAGTGGTTGGGGAGCAGGATTTGAATCGGGGTCCAAGGGACAAGGAAGGGGGAGGCGGGAACTCTTATGGGTTCACCTTGCCAGCTAAGAGGAGGCTGTGTGGGCAGGATTTGAATCGGGGTCCTTGGAGGGAGGGAGGGAGAAGAAGAGGCAGGCCGAAGCAAGGAGGACCTCTGCAGGTTCGCGTGGCCAGCTAAGAAAAGCAGGATTTGCATCGGGGTCCCGGGAGAAAGAAACGGGGGTGGGGGGAGGCTGAACCGGAGCAGGAACTCTTATGAATTCACCTCGCCAGCTAAGAGAACCTTGGAGCAGAATTTGAATCGGGGTCCTGGGAGAAGGAAGGGGAGGCTGGAGCAAGGAGGACCTCGGTAGGTTTGCGGTGCCGGCTAAGAGGCAGGCAGGGAGCAGGATTTGCATCGGGGTCCTGGGGAAGGGGAGGAGGACCCGTGGGGGTTCAGTTTAAGGCAGCGGTCTCCAACCGTGGCAACTTTTAAGACTTGTGGACTTCAAGCTTTGCTGGCTGAGGAATTCTGGGAGTTGAAGTCCTCAAGCCTTCAAGTTGGC